ATTTTCAGGTTCACCTTAAAAAAGGAAAAAGCCCTTTCAGGATAATGATCTCGTTGTAATGATCGAGCTGCAGCTCTGAACCTCTCCCAGATCAGAGCACAACATGTGAACATTCTGACTCTGATAAAGTGAAGACAGTTCAGGCGAGCTCACATTCTGGCTCACTGGTGACCATCTGAATGTTCTCATGTACAAACTATATATTCCACTAGTATATCACTGATGGTGTTCAATACATCCACGTACAGCAGCTCTTTAGTTTCCTGAACATCCAACCAGACCGCTGTCTGTGTTGGCCTCCTGCCCTGATGCTGGTCAGACTGCTGTGAAGCTCCTGTGGTGATGCAAGGCTGTATCTCTGTCATGATTGGTCGGTTTCAGTGATTGACACCTCCTTCGAATCGTTAGAGCCTATAGACTATAGCAATAGCCACCAACATGAGATTGGCAGCACTGTTAGCCAATCAGAATCAGCAGAGCGCCATCTTGAAGACGAGCCGCTTGCTGAGCGAGTGTTCCCTCCTTGGCTCCCTGAGGCTAACGGAGCCTCCATAAGACGCCCGGAGTGATTTCAGTGTAACACAGGAAGTAGTACTAACTGATTCCGGTGTGGATTTACCGCTACAACAAACTTTTCATGGCTGAACAGCTAAGGTAAGAGACATTTTCCAGCTCCAGTGTGATGAAGCGGTTTGGGTTTGTGCTGTTCTTTGGGTTGTTTCTCGCTGATGCTTTGATCTCATAGAGCTTTGATGGACATGTCTGGAATCTGTGGACCATCTGCTTTGGTCTGAGGGCTGTTGCATAAAGCACCAAAGCGCTGGAGCCAGAAATGTGGCGAGTGGGTTGACTGGGTGGCGCTATGTCGATGTCCATGTGTGATAGTTCATTTATTTGGTGTTTAGGTTGTGTTTGGGGCATGTAGACATGTAGACAGGTTCTGGTAGATACACATGGCAATTACTAGTATGTACATTTTTGTTCACAGCTGTATTTGGCCAAATGAATCCTGGGAGTCCCTGCAGCAGCCTGTAATGAGACTCTGCTGTCTGTATGGTGTGAAGGCACAGCAGTAATTATTCCAACAGCGGTTCACAGTGGATTACAGTCTGACGCGGTCATGTGAGGATCAGGTCATAGTGTTGACATGCAGCCTTCAGGCTCTTCAATGTTACAGCAAGTCTTGCATTGCGAAAGTACGTGTTTAGACAACCAACAGGGTGGAGAAGAAAACACTGAATGTGTCTCAAATAAGGAAAGGTTTGAAAGTTCATTTCCCTGCTCCTCTAAAAATAAACTGTGTTGCATGGAGTGAGAAATTGGTAAATTATTATTATTATTATTATTATTAATTAAATTGTGCAAGCTGAAATGAGACAAGGCTACAGGACAACACTGACACAGAGAGTAAACCAGGGAGGTTTTCCTCTGATAAAAAAAGACAGCAAACTTGCAATGGGGCTGCAAGGTTGTGACACTCGGGATCTTTCTGTGTGGAGTCTCCATGTTCTCCCCGTGCAGCGTGGGTTCTCTCCGGGTTCTCCGGCTTCCTCCCACAGTCCAGAAACATGTTGAGGTTAATTGGTGATTGTAAATTGTCCGTAGGTGTGAGTGTGAGTGTGCTTGGTTGTCTGTCTTTAAGTGTAGCCCTGTGATAGACTGGTTACCTGTCCAGGTGAACCTGCCTTCACCCTGAGTCAGCTGGGATAGGCTCCAGCCCCCCATGACCCTCGTGAGGATTAAGGTGTAGAGATGATGGATGGATGGAAGCTGAAATAAGACAAGGCTGTAGGACAACACTGACACAGGGAGGTTTTCCTCTGATAAATGGTGATCAGTCCCTGTTTTATGAAAAGGACTATGACCAAAAGCCGACAACAACTTGCTGCATGAGTCAAAAAGTCATGAAACATCTTGTAGCTGACTTGCATTCGCCCTAACTCCCCATGTAATGCTTTTTTTTCTTAACTTCCTCAACCCTGTCGTCTTTAACAATGTTCTGATGTTGCAGTATCACGATGGGACTGCAGGCTCCTACTTTTTGTGATATCAATTAATCATTAAATCATAAGACTGACAAAGCCGTATTTATTCTAAACAGCACTGTCAGTACTATGGACATATGGATGCTCTAAAGGTTTTCAGGTTGACCAGAATAAGAGCAAAAAAAACGTTGGAGATGTCACACCTGTCCATGTTGTGGAATAAGTGAAACCTAAAAAAGTAGAGTGACATAGCTTCTGATGCTGCAGCCTGTTTTAAGGCAAGGATCATCATTCATTTCTAAATCTAAAAAGGAGCAGTTGTATGAATTTTTTCATGTTAGATCAAGTTATAGCTAAACTTTTAGATTATTTTAATGCTTGTTTCTGTAGCGACATACTGAACTAATAGATACAACATGCAATAACTTCAAACAGTTGCAGTTTAAGGTATGTGTCGCCATGCTATCCGCTTCCTTCATGTATAATTTCTGATACCAGATAATTTCCATCTGAAACATTTTTGTCCATCACAGACATGACTAAGGTAATTATCTGTTCCATCCTACTTACATCCAGAGCGCTGTGTCATCTCTGATTCTAGCAGCTGGCTTTCCAGTCGCTCTGAAGGTAGCGTTCTGGTAAATTAGAGGCACAGATATAGCAGCACATCATTATGCATTTGTCTGTGCATTATGAGCACAGATTTACAGATTACATTGCATTTTTGTGGGTTTTACTGGACAACAGAAATGCAGGATTTTGTATAAAAGGAACACCGGTGCAGACATCAAACACAAGCAGATGTAAAATCAGCAAAAGAGGTTTGTTGCAATGACAGGAATACAAAGAACCAAGGACACACACAGGGAATGGAGAGTGCAGGTGACTGGTGACTGCAAGAGGGGAAGGTGAACCTGCACCTGGAAGGCCAGGAGGACTAGGAGGACTAGGAGGACTAGGATAACTAGGAACAAACAGAATGAAGCCAATATGGCAAACTGAGCTCTCTAAAGGGAAACTTTAAGAACTTGGCAGGTTACCTAAACATTTACAGATATACTGGAAGATCTAACAACACTATCAAATACTAAGAAGAGCAGTACCACAGGCCCTGGAGAGAAAAACTAGTTCAGGAGAATATGATTCAAATCAGAGAACAAACATAATAATTACTTAAACAGATTCAACCATACTGGGGAAGCTAAACTGTCACTGAAGCTACAGTAAAGCTAGAAAGCTGCGCTGCCTATAAATAAAGCCAGTAAACAGGACCAGTTAACACAAGGACAGGAACAGTAAAGACAGAATGGCTCTTCTAAAACCTCAGAATGCAGCAAAGCATACACTGGTCTTATTGATCAGCTGGGAGTTTCTGGCCTTGTTGGTGGTACTAAAGTCAACCAGTGGGATGTTTTAGGGTTTTGTGTGTGAACCTTAACGGACAGGATGGTAACTCTGGGGTCTCATCCAGCCTTTCAACAAGGATTATAAAGACTGCATTCAGGTCTACTGTCAATGACCTTTGTGCATTTGGTTAGTTTCCTTTGTGAGCAGCACACCACAATGGGACACTGCATTGATGGATTGTTTATTTGTTGTATATATGTGCACATGTAGTTACTGTGATGCTGGGAGACATCAGTGGACAGACAAATCAGTTCTCTTTTCTCTTCATCAACATCAACGAGTCTTGCATTGTCTTTGTGATTTCTTACAGAATAAAGAAAGAGAGCGCATGAGGGAGCGAGAGAAAGCGGCGAGGGAGAGGGAGGCGCGTTACAGCAACGGCCACCTCTTCACCTCGCTGACCGTGTCGGGAACTACCCTGTGCTCAGCATGCAACAAGAGCATCACTGCAAAGGAGGCGCTCAGCTGCCCCAGTAAGTCCAGCTGGTCCACTGCTGCTTTTACATGCAGTGAGACATAGCTATAGCTGAACATCTAGTTTCAGTTTTGACCAAAAAGATTAAAATAAAATGATGGACATTATAGTTTATGGGGATAAAGAATAATCATGGACACTCCTCTGCCTCCAAGGTAGCTCATTGAGAATGTGTCGATCAATAGGATCTTCTACAGGCACCTTTTCCAGCATGAAGGTTATTTTCCAGCCTCACATTGTGCACAGAGCTCAGGAGCCAGACGATGAGAATGATACCAAAGAGCAAGAATCTTAACTTTCACTAATAATTCACTTCTAGTCAACAGCATAACAACATATTAGTGAGTCAAGACTACTGAATGAATGTTTGGTTGTACTGTCTAAATGCATCAGGTGTGTATTGTTGGCATATTCAACAGCGTTGCCCCATGAACAGGAATCATTTCATTTTTGTCTGCGAATGTCAAGCAGTGTTGTTTTTTGGGGAATAAACTCTTGGTATGTGGTGAAACGCCTTCACTAGAACATCTGAAAGGGTTCATTTGTGGGTCCGGCCCATAAGATAGCTGATTTGGATTCTTTATGTTTCATTTTAAGTCTCATGTCTTTATATTTTCCAGCATGCAATGTGACTATCCACAACCGATGTCGAGACACTCTGCCCAACTGCGTCAAGATGAAACAGAGGGTAAGAGAAACTCTACGCCACCAATCATCATGATTAATGTGTGTTTTATTTACAGGTATGTATGTGGTAGGATTCAGCTTGTTTTAGTGTATAGTATTTAACAGTCATGGCATTTCCTTTTCTGCCCAGTCACACTAAAGTGGGTAATTAGGAGAAAAACGTGCTTAAATCTCTGATCATCAGCTGGGAATCATGTCCTGGATCTCACTGTGAGATCGGTCCACTGGCAGGTTTAGAGATCTGGTGACCACAGGGCCTGTAGAAATGTAGTCCTAAACTTTTCATCAAACTGGCCCCATGTGACTCCAGCGACAACCCGTTTTCACATCTCAACAGAAGAGGAACTGAAACATGCTGCATTTAAAAAGAGCAGGTTCTGAGTGAGGTTTAAGAAACTAATAACACACATGTACACGAAGAAACCAAAATAATGGAGACAGAGAGAGAAAAGGCAGATATTCAGTATAAACTATCTGATTTTCTAATTTTACACTTAACTAGAAAGTTAATTAGTAAATTACGGGCTACAGCTTATGGGGCTTTTTTTTTTTAAAAGCTATTTTTTTGGCCTTTGTGCCTTTATTGGATAGTGTTAGTGAGAGAGAGACAGGAAAGTAGGGGAGAAGAATGGGGGGAGGACATGTGGTAAAGGTCATGAGCAGGATTCGAGCTCATGACCTCCACATTGGGACTTTAGCCCTGCACATGGGACACCAGCTCAACCAGGTGAGCTATAGCTATGGGGCTTTTTATTCATTATTTTATTATTTATCAGTTTTATTGCTCCCCCAAACTGACTGTTTGTGAACTTATATTGCCTTTACTGATACCATAAGCTGCAGGTATCTCAGTGGTTAGCTTCGTCGCCTCACAGCTAGAAGGTTGCCGGTTGGTGTCCCGGTGAGGACACCCGGGATCTTTCTGCGTGGAGTCTCCATGTTCTCCCCGTGCAGCGTGGGTTCTCTCCGGGTTCTCCGGCTTCCTCCCACAGTCCAGAAACATGCTGAGGTTAATTGGTGATTCTAAATTGTCCGTAGGTGTAAAATCTCTTAGTTGACAGATGCCTTGACTCTGGACTTAGTAAAACTCAGTGGACAAACGTCAGCAGATGACACAGCACCAGAACCCATCCCCGGCTGTGGAAATCTGACACTGGACTTGAAATGTGTGTGTGTCATTAAATACCTGCTTTTAATCACATGTTATAAGATGCTGTTATAAACTGCTCCAGTGGGTGAACTGTGACATCAACACATGGCTTAAAAACGAATAATATATAAAAGAATGATGTCGTTTTAACTGTAATCTGTGTATATGTTTAATAAAGCAACAGAAGATGACCCTGATGAGGAATAACGTGACGCTGCGCACCAAAAGTAAGAACTCCTGTCACAGTGTTTTCATACATAGGTCCCTCCTTCCTCTGCAGCTACGTCACGCTTCACTCGTCCTGTTTTCCTTCCTGTTAGTTATTCTTGTCTTTTTCTAAATGCTGCCCTGCTGTCCTCTTTCCCTTTCTACTTCTGGTTTTTCATCTTCCTCCTAAACATGCTGCCATTTTATTCCTTTTTACTCCATTTTAGCTCTTCTCGTCACACTTACTTTTCTGTACCTGCATCCTTTTCTTTTGTCAGCTCCAGGGATGCGTGAACGTCCCACGTCGGCCATCTACCCTTCAGAGAGCTTCCGACAGTCTCTGCTGGGTTCCCGCCGTGGCCTCTCCGGCCTGTCCCTGTCCAAGAGCGTCTCCACCAACAACATCGCAGGGTGAGTCCCACCTCCACCAGCCAGCAGGGCCGATGTTTCCCACTCACCTGGTTTCATTTTTCATTTATTCAAACTGGCAGTAGAGAAGGAAAACAAACAAACAGATAAACAAACAAACAGGGGGATATTGCCTCCACTTTGCTTACTTCTCTAGTTTGTCTTCATAGTAGTTGGTATATCAAATGTTATATACTGTGTGTTACAGGAATCTGAATGATGAGTCTCCGTTGGGGCTGCGCAGGATCCTGTCTCAGTCCACGGACTCCCTCAGCTTCAGGAACAGAGCGATGTCAGTGGAGTCCCTCAACGATGATGGTATGAAAACATCACGACCTGTATGTTGAAGTGGCTGCAATATCTGGATACCCTCTGAGTCACAGTCATGTACATGATGTGCTCACAAGACTGCAGGCAGCTCGGTCTATGTTTATTGCATTGTCCAGTACAGTTTTATTGCTTTAGAGCAGGGGTGTTGAACTCCGGTCCTCGAGGGCCACAATCTTGCATGTTTTAGATGTTTCCCTCTTCCAACACACCTGATTCAAATGATCAGCTCATCATCAAGTTCTGCAGAAGCCTGATAACAATCCTGATCATTTGAATCAGGTGTGTTGGAAGAGGGAAACATCTAAAACATGCAGAATTGTGGCCCTCGAGGACCGGAGTTCGACACCCCTGCTTTAGAGGATAGCGGACTAATACAGGAACAACATTGGTCATTCTTTTAACAGTATAATGGTGCATGTGCCATCACATCATAGCAGGTTGATCAAATAGGTCCTGGTATGGGCTGCTGCTGTAGCTCAACTGGTTGAGCTGGCAACCCATGTACAGATCATAGTCCCCAGCGGTCGTGGGTCAAGTCCCGCTCATGACCCTTTGCTGCAAGTCCTTCCCCCATTCTTCTCCCCCACTTTCCTATCTCCCTCTCAGCAGTCCTATCTAATAAAGGCAAAAAGGCCCAAAAAAACTTTAAAAAAGAAATAGTACTGAATGACTGCAAGTCCATCAGCATGAGGACTGAGCTGAAAAAATCTGCAGTTTTAGTAACACGGTGCCCAGAAATAAGAAATTGTGCAAAAGATGAATCAGGTTCATCATGAAACATAATTTGCTTCAAAACATTTAATAGTAAAAAACTAAAGTTCACCTACACATGTGCTCCACCTGTCTTGAGTTTCCAGCGACTCCTATAACTCTGGATGTAGAATCACTGGAGTGTTATAGGAGTCACTGGAAACTTAAGACTGCCACGACACACGAGGTCTGAACGAGTGTATGAGCCAAACTGAGCTGTGTGTTTATGTGATTTCCTGTTGTTGGTGTGTGGAGGAAGTTAAAGGTGGAGCCCACAGGGGAAGGCTTCAGAACCAGCTGCCACAGCATCTGGGTGTAGCTGAGGAAGGCAAACAACATCAAGGAACTTCTTAAAGACTCTTTAATTGAAAGCTTTTTTAAATTTTATTTCTGTAATTCAGCAACAATAAATGCAATAACTGGTCATTGGGACCGACTGGATCCACTTCTGCTCATCATCTTTCGTGTCCAGACTAAACTCAGCCATCAGTAGCAGTCCAGCAGCAGACTAAAGGGCTTTGCTGAAACTGCCTTTACAACAAGTGTATGTAGACTGTTGTTGCTGACCGTAGATGGGAAACAAGCTTGATAGGTGAGACGGGGGGTGACGAGTTCATATACCTGTCTGTACACCCCCTGACTTAAAGGAATCGGTAAACTGTTGAAATACATCAGACCCAAACACTGAGTGGATGAAACACACAATGCTGTAATGGAACTGGTGGAAGCAAGTGTGGTGGGTGGTGAGAAGTGGGAAAGAATCAGTGTTAAGTAAAAGCACCTATTATGCTCATGAAACAGCTTCTTTATGTTATTATGGAGATCTATTATTTCACTGTATGGATGAAACATGATTGTTCTTTAGGGGATAATTACATTTTAGTAGTGAAGACGTTCAGACGTCAAGCCTGAGCTGTGAATTTTAATTTTTTTTTTTTTATAACTCTTTATATGAACGAGAGATGTCTTTTGAAAGCTTTGTTGTTGGTATAATAATACATTTTACTTATTTTCCGAATGCTCGAAGACGCTGCACAGGGAATAAAAACAACAGCAGAAAGCAAAAAGCATTGAGTGCATTTAAAAACAATCTCACATTAACAGCATTGTTGCAGAGGTGAGTTTTGGTGAGTGATGTTAAGGCGGACCGGTTCGGGTGATTATGGATGTTTGGTGGTGAGGAGCTCCAGAGGGTGGGGACGGTGACAGAGAAAGCTCTGTCCCCCCAGGTTGGTGGTGTGGAGAGGAGGTGGGCATCAGAAGACCAGAGGTTACCAGAGGGGGTGTAGTGGTGGAGCAGGCTGGTGATGGAGGGCTTTGTGGGTGTCTGTAGAGTCTACAATCTTTTTAACCTTTCATACTGACGCTTTTCTCTCACTGCTCAGGAGACATGTACTACACTTCTGTGCTGGAGGAGATGGAGCTGGAGGGCCAGGACTTCCAGGCCGACTCGTGGAGCATGGCAGTGGACAGCAGCTATTTGCAGGCACATCGTAAAAATGTCATCAAGAGGCAGGATGTCATCTACGGTGAAACCCTTAAGTTTCATTTAAGATTGTCAGGGAGTGGTTTCTCCCTCTCAGCTGTTGGTTGGCTGACTTTGAGGGTGTGTGTCTTCCTTAGAGCTCATCCAGACAGAACTCCACCACATGCGAACGCTGCACATCATGGAGCGGGTGTTCCGACAGGGCATGCTGGAGGAGTTGCAGCTGGAGCCCAGCACCGTGCACACCGTCTTCCCCTGCCTGGACCAGCTGATCAGGATACACTCCAACTTTCTTGCACAACTTCTGCTGCGGCGTCACAGCAGCCTGCAGCCTGGATCCTGCCACAACTTCACCATTCACCAGCTGGGGGACATATTACTGGAGCAGGTGACTGTTTAAGTATTTAGATGCTAATGTTTGTGGCTGACTTTGCACGTTTCTGTGTTTTTTCCTTGGCAATAGTTGTGTAGACAGACACTGATCATGCTGTCGGGTTTGACCAGTGCTTCTTTCCTTCATGTTCCAGCAGCAGATCTTTCTCACCTAGACCTAACTTGTGTGTGTTCTTCTGCCAGTTCTCAGGCCAGTGTGCAGACGACATGCAGAAAACCTACGCTGAGTTCTGCAGCCGCCACCTGAAGGCCGTCAAACTGTACAAGGAGCTTCTGGCCAGAGACAAGAGGTTCCAGTTCTTCATACGGGTGAGAGAAGCACATCGAAATACACGACTTGTAGGCGAGCGCACACAAGATCCAAATCAAAGTAACTGTCATATTCTATGTAAGCCGTGCCTTCTGGTAGCACCACATTGTGTTTTGAGAGACGGGGCATCATGTTGGCCGCTGCTCCTTTGCATAAAGTTGAGGTCTAGGCTACTGCCTCTGGAGACTCCCCAAAAATGTAGAAACTAACCATTGTTGTCCTAAAATAAGGAGATACGTGGCTTATTTCTTACCTCAGATGTTTTGGGGGTTTTTTTGTGAAAAAAAAAAAACACTTTGGTGAACTTTTTTTTCACAAGACAAACTCACCGCTAGGTGCAGTCAGTGTTTGCAGGGTTGTACCCTGTATTGGTTTCCTGTTGGACTGTCACTGATTTATTGTGTCTGTGCCTCGTCATACATCTATTAAGCATCCAGTGCAGAGAAATAGCACAATCTGTTTATGTCCAAAACCCCACATAAGGACGATGGACCGTTGCTAATATCTCCCCGTCATACAACAACATGACAACAGTAAACATTATACCAGTATGAAGGACTGATGTTCCCACAAAGGCATATATTTTGCAGTTTTTCTCCATATTTTCCAGTTAGTTTGTCCTGACTTTGTGCTGCTAGCCAGTGGTGTTGTCAGTATCCTGAAATAGGCCTTTCAAACGCAATGAAGAGGAAACAACAGCCATGAGAGTGTAGTCAGTGTGTGTTTGCCTCTCGCCGTCTCTGAGCAGCGGTTGAGTCGAGGACCCTTGCTACGTTGCCATGGTGTTCCAGAGTGCATCCTGTTGGTGACTCAGCGGATCTCCAAGTACCCGGTTCTGATTCAGCGCATTCTGGACAACACCACCGGTGAGTCAGAACCGCCATCATGGCTTTATCTGTCTACTGCTTCATGCACATGTGGTATCTCAGCAACAAAATGAAAATGAAAGTAATAATATGTTTATACATTTAGATAATACATGTTGTACTTTATCCAATTTACCTGCTGGGAGAAACAATGTGCTATAATAATGGTTGAATAATATCTCTACATTGTGTTTAATGCCTTTGGTTTTTGTGCATCCACGATAATCCTGTTTATTTGTTTCTCACCCAAGACGATGATGAAGAAGCTTCCTCTCTGGCACAAGCTCTCCTGATGGTCAGAGAACTTCTTAGTTCAATAGACCAACAGGTACCAATGCATTTAAATACTTACCTTCAATACCGCAGCATTCTGTGGGTCCTTCTCTGATAGACTAATATCACCCAAAACTATGGTTATGCTAAGTTATATATATATATATATATGTATGTTTTTATGTATGTATGTATGTATGTATATGTATGTATATATATATATATATGTGTGTGTGTTTGTATGTATGTATGTATGTATATATATCTATGTATATATATATATATAAATAATTATATATAGTTATATATATTTATATACTATGCATTCAAACAATCAAATATATGAGATTATATGTGATTCTTGCATCTTTATGTTCTCTGAGCTGTGGACAAACAGTGCAGTTTAATCGTGACGTTAATCATTAAGTCAGCAGCACACGTCCGCATGGGTCCAAAAATTCATACCTGGACCCCCAAAGACCCAGAAATGTTCGACCCAGAACTCAAGTGTTCGACTCCAAATGGAAGATGACTTTTATCCTGCTTTGCAGATGGAGGAACTGGAGAAGACACAGCGGCTGCAAGAGATCCAGGCCAAGCTGGATCCCCGGGCTGAGGCCAGAGTTAGGGACGGCGGACTCTTCAAGACCGGAGAGCTGCTCCGCCGCAAACTGGTCCACAACGGGACTCTGTTCTGGAAAACCCCAGGATCCCGGCTCAAAGGTACACAGCGTGATGAAAAGATTAGTGTGGGTGTAAAGTAAGTGAATGTGGTTTTTCTAGGTCCAGTCAGGTGCTGCACATAATAAAATGAACATAGATTAGGAATGATGACTATCCACTATAAAGAAAGCTCCAGTTCTGAACTCCCTCACACAAAGGCTTGTTGTTATAGCTGAACCCACTCTACTGCAGTGCCCGTCATAGCTGGTACCTGTGATCTAGGTTGGACAACATACAAACAAAGAGGGAACTGACTGGTTTGTGATGGTTTCAGATCCACACTACCAAAGTGTTCTTGCAATTTCTGCATCAACAGTATTGAACATGAACAACAGGAGGCAGTTTTGTTGTTATGAACTTGACTGTTTTTGGTGTGCGGTTGTATTGTCAGTCAATTTATTATGTGTGTGTGTGTGTGTGTGTGTGTGTGTGTGTGTGTGTGTGTGTGTGTAGATATGCAGGTCCTATTGATGACAGACATCCTGGTGTTTCTGCAGGAGAAAGACCAGAGATACATCTTTTCATGCATGGTAAGAACGTGTATCCCAGAAGTGAATAAAATTGACAAAAACTGCACTTTTTCCTGTCATCCTCTTATCTTTTCTGTGTTTTTCTGTAACAACGCTCTGCTGTGTAATTCAGGACAAGCCTCCAGTGCTGTCCCTTCAGAACCTGATAGTGAGGGATATAGCCAATCAGGAGCGAGGCATGTTCCTCATCAGCGATTCCTCCCCTCCTGAGATGTACGAGTTCCACGCTGCCAGCAAGGAGGATAAGAACATGTGGATACGCCACATCCAACACACCGTCAGCAAGTGAGCAACTACGTGTACAAACACTTCCTGTAATTTTAAGGAATAACTCAAAAATCTATTGTCGCCGATGAAGTCAGAGCAATATGCTGCTCTATGTGCAGACAGAGCACTCTTGTATTTCAGTTCCTATTCTCGCCATGAGAGGTAGAAAGCTGCCAGGTTAGACTGAGGGCACACGTTTCTTCTTAAGCTGGCCTGTACTTTCACAGGTAAGGCTCCCAAATGAAGCTTCAATTGGCTTCAACAACACATCAGCGTGCTTGTTCCAATGGCGTTTTGGTATTAGTCTATTCCACAACACTACTAATTCATAAGTAAACAGACAACACAGTCCATCATAAGCTCTATGAGTAGGTAGGCCTAACCCTAACCCTAGCAATGGCAGTATGTACTGATAGTAGAAACGTCACCAATAAAAATTAGAAAATAGTTTGACTGAATGTTCAATAGTTTCGATAAGTTCAGTTGCAGGACTAATCCCTTGATCCCTCCCGTGCCTGCAACAACCCATCATATCCCTTCATATTGGAGCTCCATATATTATCACATCCATGCTGGTTTGCCAAAGCAAGTTGGTCCACAGCCACCTGGGATTCTGCATCTGCTCATGTTACTCCTTTTATCAAGAACAAAATCACATTACTAACAATAGGAAAGTGATGACAACTGATCAGTGATGGCAGGATTTGTGTGCTTTTGTCTGCTCAGGTGTCCATCAAGAGAGGAGTTCCCGCTCATAGAGACCGAACACAAGGCCCATCTCAGGAGACTCAAAGGTCAGGAGACAACCATTTGTGGCCAATCACAGGTGGATTTTTCTTATGCTGCTTTAGTTTCTCTTAAATGATCACAGTCTCAGTATAAACCAGGCACCTCGTTTTCCTGCCATGAGTCTGAGATTTGAGGAAAATCAAAAGCAATAAAAGCTGATAATCAGACTCAAACCTCATCATCAGCTGATGAACATGTTTATTTGAAAGCTGCTTCCAACATCCTACGTGAGCATTTTGGTTTGAAGCTGACTTTGTATTTCCATGTGAGGAGATTTATCAATGAGCTAAACGAGTTCATAACTCTTTGACTCTCACTGAGCGAATCAGAGAGGTGAAGGGAAATTCATAAATCTGGGACTGGCCAACAATAAAAGTTTAATTTTAGGAGGTCCTCTAAATGTAAAGGTGCCCAAATTCCCAAATATTCACCCAGCACTGTTTTTAAACTACAACCAGCCATATGGGCTTCTCTCTGAACATAATATGTAAAGTACCCTGAGATGACTCATTTTATTGTCATAGTTATGATTTAATGCAACAAATACAACTGAATTTAACGAGTTGAAAGTGAATGAAAAAGAGAACTTTGCCTTTGTAATTGTGTGTGTGTTTTTTTTTGACTTGGTCAAATATTCAACCAGTCAATCGATCAATCAGACTTTATTCATATAGGACTTTTCATACAAGTACAATGTAACACAAAGTGCATCTACACGTGTTAGGAGTATGTACCTGGTTTAGGTGGCAGCATGCAGACACAGGCAGTGAGAACAGGCAGCATCTGTAGCCCTGCATCGTGTTTGTGTTCAGCACGTAACTGATGAATCCTCACCCGCCCACAGCTGACCTCCAGCAGAAGGACCAGGAGATGCTGGAGCTCCTGCAGGAGAGGGTGACGTTATTCTGTGAGCTGGCGGAGGTGACCAGCGGTCAGGAGGGCCTCCAGCCTCTCACCACCCGCTACTTGTTCAGGGCCGACACACCACAAGCTCCCCGGGCAGAAAAACTCCTGCTAGACGCTACAGCTGAAGGTAAAGAGTTTTATTCACATTAAAAGTAGATAATGTAGTCTGACAGTCTGACAGCCGGACAGGCCAAAGCATCATACCCCATTGGTCAGTTTGGACATTACTTATAGTTAGAAGTAGTAATTTATAACATATTCATGAAGTGGGGAATAAAAATACAGTCCACTCAGCTAGGGGCAATAAAACAGAATTTTTGCATCAATATTATGTGAATGACAGCCCAAACTATTTACACAAAAGCAGTATTGGCCAATATATAACAATAATGTTTGAATTTGTATTCAAAGTATTGAGAAATATATATAATACTTTATGAAAAATATATTAAAAATAAATCTACAGTGCAGTAAAGTGTACAGAAAGTGAAGCGTGTGAAAGTTCAGTCATACGGCTGTGTGTGCATGTGTGTGTTTCCACAGTGGACAGGTTAAGCGACCTTCTCCTGGGCTCCAGCATGAACATCCCCATCTTGTGCCATCACAACCACATGGAGGTGTTAGAATCCAGTGAGTGAGTCGGTCAACACAACATACATCAAGACTCATCATTCCTACCAGCAGCACAAAACTGCACCAATAACATACCAAGAATAACCTTTTAGATTAACTATTCTGGTAGATTAATCGTAGCAACTGGACCTGCTTGAGTTCCTTGAAGACGTTCCACCTCTCTTCCAAGAGGCTTCATCAGCTCTGACTGACTAGTTGGGAGTTCCAGATACTGATGTCCTTAAGGAGCCATTAACACCTGAGTTTAGGTTTCAATTGGGGGTTTGTTGTTCCTCCCCCTCGTTATGTGAGTCGTTAGTGCTCCCCCTGACACCAAGGGGTTCGTTAGAGTCTGTTGTGGCTAGATGTGGATGTAACATGAATGTACATCCATACCTAGCCAAGGCTGGCACTCTGGCCAGAGGCACAAGACCAGGGGTGTCCAGTCCTGGTCCTCGAGGGCCACAGTCCAGCATGTTTTAGATGTTTCTCTCTTCCAACACACCTGATTAAAATGATCAGCTCATCTTTCAGGTTTGTGGAGGCCTGATAACGATCCTGATCATTTGAATCAGGTGTGTTGGAAGAGGGAAACATCTAAAACATGCAGGACTGTGGCCCTCGAGGACCAGGATTGGACACCCCTGCACAAGATGAACAGATGAGGAATATTGAGTCTATATACACCGGGACAGAGGAGGCCATGACACACAGGTGGAGCACATTAGAGCGAGGCAGAACAGCAGACAAAGACCAGGGAATGAGACAGAGGGTGAGTTTGGACACGAAACAGGAAGTGGTAATAAAATAAAACAGGAAGACAAGAACATGGCCTAAGACTAGGAGGAGGATGTGACAATAAATCTACTTCCTGTTTACTGTTTTGAAGCAGTCAGATGCTGATTAAAACACCTTTTATCCTGCAGACTAGCAGAGTGACTGCTGTGTTCGTCTCTTCTCAGGTGACCAAGATCTGCTGGTCAATGGAATTCACCATTTCTTGACAACGAAGGTGAGCTGGGCCTGAGACTAAGTTAATTGGAAAGAGTTTTTGGATCAAGGGCTGAGTGCTCATTCATCATTTTCAAATCATCATTAGCATCTTCTTCTGCCTCAACCAGTTGTGGTGAGGCTAAAAGAGAGAGAAAATTATGTCAGACAAATAAACAAAAGTACAACAAACACTGGTGAGGTTAAATTATTGTAACGTATTATGCAACCTATAGGTTCCTAACTTCATCTGCCATTTGAATCTCTAAACTGACTTCCTCAGTGCTGCCAGAGTACACAGGACCTCAACATATTAACATAAACACATTTTATTTTATTGTGCATTTTAAGTGACTGTTGTTGTCCTGTTCGTATATTCTGCATCTTCGTTCTCATGTTTTTTTTCACCCTCCTGTTTGTGGAACACTCGACCTTCTGAAGGACTGCATGAGGAGCCAAGACAAGCCGTCACACATGGTAAGTAGGGCTCAAGATTATATGAAGTGTGTGTGCATTCGAGTCAGACATCAGCTATAAATGTGTTGCTTGTGTTTCAGGAGATCTGTCAGAGGCTGGTGAATCTCAGCATTTATCTTCACGCACTTCAGGTGAGTAGATGCTGAATACTGAAATCACCGCACATACACACTTCATCGACCAACGCTGTGTTAGTCCAGAGCTCAGGACTTCCAGGCTGTGACTGTAGCCCCGAGCCAACGGGTTCTGAAACCTATCTTGCAGGCTGCAGTTATCAAACAAGACTCGATCTTGGAGCTGCTGCTTCAGCCACAAGACACTGTGACACCAGCTCCAGCTGGAGTATGGCGCCCTCTGGGGCGAGACGGGGGACATCGGGAGTGCAGCGCAGGGTCGACCATCGGAGAGCTGGCTCTGTTACAGAGGCAGCACAGCCTACTGCAGGAGGAGCTGCTCAGGCTGCGGGATGCCGAGAGCCGCTTCAAGGACAGCGAGAGGGCCCGGGCCAAGCTGGAGAGGCAGGTCCGAAACATGAAGGTCTGCAGCGGTGTCACGCCTGCTTCCCTCCAGCAGGGGGAGCCAGCTTCGCAAGTAAGACCAACTGTATTGCAGTTCCATGATGTTAGGAGAACAACATGGAACAGACTTTATGATTTGTTAGATTTCAGAGCCTGAGGCGACCTGTTAGCCCGACTATCAAGTTTTAAACTAAGATCCATCAGGCAAACTCCCCGAGCATCTCACAGGACCTTCTGCAACCATAAGGAGTGGGTTTACTCTGAAGCGCGTGACACCCACGTTCCTTCTCTCTTCTCTTTCTGTTTTAGCCTTTATCGTTGATGCCAGGACGGGTGGTTTCCTCCCCACAAGCCAATCAGGAACCTGTCCACCAATCAGATCGCTTCCAGGAAGGCAGTGACTTGGAGGTAGACGTGACGTCAGATGATGATGACGGGACCACATCAGAAGGCTCCAAAGGTCAGGGTACAGAAAGAACATGAAATGACTGATTTGGTTTTGTTCAGAACGATGACCTCAGAAAGCAGAGCAGAGCAGAGAGACTGGTTATATTACAGAGGAGTGACCTCGGAGTTTATAACGGGCCAGCAGGCTTTGGTAGGTTGAGGGAGGTGGCAGGACTTGGGAGATGTTAACTGGTTTCTGGGGAGGGAAGACTTTTAGTTGGAATGGTGTATAGAGAATGGGGTAGGTGGTGTGGATCCAGGTGGGGATCCAGGTGGGGCTTCTGGCTGATCATGGCCAAAGGTAAGTTCAAGTCTGAATCAGAGACACAACAAAAATGAATCGACTAGAAAGCCCAGACTACTGGAGCAGGCAGACTGCTGCTGAGAGTTGGTCTAGCAACACGTCGGCAGCTGAATAACCTTGAAGGGAAGAATGGGGGAGCAGGAGGGAACGAACACCAGAAGCAGAGGCTTAAAGGGGAGAGGTGAAGTCGGGACCATGACATTAAAACCAACATACAACAGGAACAAGATGAACTTTAAACCATTTTAGACTTTGTTCAACTTCAGCAGTTCCTCCTCACATGACATAGCAGGATACTGGTGACGTGTCCAATGATACCACTGAGATGCTATTTTACTGCAGTTTCAGGTGAGCAGAGTACTGACTTCTGATTTTCTTTTTCAGATCTTCAAGACATTCCAGAGGAGATCTAACCCTCGGCATATTTCACAGAGCTACACATGATTATGATCTATTCCAATGAAAATACGTTCTTGTTCTTGTGTTTTCTAGCTTAGAGACCAACAATACACACGTTAAAGTTCAGTTTTACTATTTATTCCGCTGTTTTGCTGTTGAGTAGATGACTTGTGACAGTGGCTTGTTTAATTTTTCAGTTCTGCTTTGGGTTGTTATGATTTCCATGATCACTTGACCAAAGGGGATCACTCTGTCACAGAAACAGTCAGAAGCATCAAGGCCTCGTCACGACAGCAGCCAACACAGTGTTAATGAAAAGAGGAACCGTATCCACAGGATCTCGTACTCTGTTTACAATGCTAAAAATAGAAATTCACACCATTAATAAACAAATAGAGATCATCACTCAAAAAACCTTCTGCAGAAAACAACTCCAGAACCTGCTGAGGCCTGCAGCAGCAGTACAGCATCTCCTGATAACAATAAGCAAGAAATATAAAGAACATAAGCAATTGGATAACCTCATAAACAGCTACAGACTCTTCCCACTCTTCTGTGATTTTTGCTTTTAGCTCTTTACCGGTAGTAGCTGATGGCATCTCCTGGGGTCTGCAGGCCCCTTATAGGCACTTGGACCATCTGCTGTTGGCACCGACCACCACAAGACTAAATTCACTGTTGTTCTTCTTACTAGAGGAGCTCGGTGACTCTCCGTGCTCTGGAGGGTTCCACAGGGTTCCACCAGGTTTGCCTCAGCATTAAATCTGCCTCTGCATAATCCATTCTGCATTAGACACAAGGCAGACATGCTGGGAAAAGATGCACACAGAGAGGAACCAAGACAACCTGGAATCAGGGAAAGAAACTTGATCATCTGAAGAGACTGTTTGATGACAGAAAATCAGCTGAGGTCTGTGCTACCAAACAGGGCTTGAGGTTAGCTTTAGGATTCTACTCAGGTTTTCAGGACTATGATGGTGGTTCACATCTTAGCATTATAGCGTTTGCTGAATGCCAAAGCAGGTCCGGTTCCAGACAACAGTTCAACGTGTGTTAAACACCAGCGTCTGACCAATCAGCTCTCTTGGAAATGGCATCACCGTTCCTGGAAGATCTCATGGAGCTCAACAGATAGTGAGAGGGGAAGATAACAAGGTTGTAGCTGGAAGAGAGTCTTAGAGCCCAGAAGAATTCACTGGATAAAATACACAGCTGTGATCACAGTCAGATGTACATGTGTTCTAATGATTTGGTCGTGTCACTGATTAGCCTGTTAACTTACGGCCTACTTACTGACAGCAGTCTCTCCTGCTGTTGCTGCTGCAGCTGTGTTACTTTAAGTCTTTATTATGTGTACATTTATGATATATTATGGTTTGCCCTTCATTGGTGAAATATGCCACTCTGGTGGTAGAAATTTTTCCTTTCTCTGCCTCTTTCATATGAACACGCCCATGGCAGATGCACAGACCATGGAGTTGACTTCCTGAGTTGATCGTCTTCTTGACAAGCAATCTTCTAAATGAAAAACTTCTCATTGTGTTCCATTCTCTGATGTCAGTGCCTTTCCAAACTGTTAGAAGTTACTCTTACAAGACTGATTCAGTTTTATCTCTGACACCATGATGGTTAAGGTGTGGTTTGGTAGGAAAAGTACTTCTTTAGGGGTGAGAGAGATAGCGGTAAAATGTCTGTGGGGGTTAAATCAGCCTCATCTGTAACTCGAAAAATACGATCCAGAAACACATGCTAAGGGAGTCACATCTGTAAGTCTGGTTTTTAACTTGTTATGCAGCTTATGACAGAAATATAGTTATGAATTTCTACCCATTTGTGTGCACTCTTTTGGGCTTCTTCTATTTCAGACAAAATCCCCTCAAAACTCCATTAAGTCACGTCTAAATGAGGAGTGATTTATACATGTATCTATAAATCCATATTTGTAAATCTAATTTGTAACTGGCATCAACTTTTTATTCAAAATATGTTTGCTTCAGAAGACTGAGTGGCTGCCTGCAGGTGGAGATAACGCAGCATTTTCAGGTGGAAGCAATTTAAGGTGAGCTGCTACAGAACAAAGTCAGACAGTTGTTTGGCTTGTAGCTCGTCGGCTAGTTAACCTCTAAACGTCTTTCTCATCCCTCATCATTTAGACTACAGGACATTTTAGACATCATGTGCTTCCTAAATGAGTGGATTTAGAGTTTAGAAAGAATGCATGCATAACGGTAGACATTAACAAATCTGTTTCCACTGAAAAAAATGTTAAACTGATGTATGAATGATGATGTACTAGTTAGAAACCAGACTTACCGGTGATGATGATTCGCCAGTTGTTTGTGGATATATCTTATAAGTTATAAACTAGAGGCACAGAGAGACACATTTAACATGGACACAACATCTTAACAGATGACAAGTAATCGTCTTTCCAAAATGAAGATGACCAGAATCAATACAATCCTGGTGAATAATCAAAGTGAATGGTTTCTCTGTTGATGGCACTGATAGTTGGCACTACTTTAAACTAGACGAGTGGCCAACCAGGGGCTCTTTGCATCTTTAGGATGTGATGTGTTTGTATTGGGAGACACGACCGCCTCATAACGGTGGATCCTCAGAAAACTGTGCATGCTCCTTCTGTGTTACTTTTAGATCAAGTGTGCAAGTTCCTGCATTTCTCTGAACAACTGCTGCTGCTGATGGTTTTGACAGAGTTCACGATTCCACCGACAGAGAAACGTAATGATGCTGCTTTCTGTGACAGTTGATGTCTGATACAACAGCAGACTTGAAGGGCTTTTACATCTTTGGTTAGGAAATGTTCAGTATTCTGTTTAGCTTATTGCTTTGCACGTTTTTACAGGCGTCTTATCTGACTCCAGGATCTGTGAGCTGTGGTGGTGCTGAGGTTCTAAACACGGTGACATCAGGAAACAAAACAAAGTAAATACAAAAGCTTTTAGAAACAGAACGTAGTGTTTTCTGAAAGGTTGTTGTGTTTTGCATCTCAGGGGCACTACAGTCAATCTACCCTTCAGCTTGTACCTTTATTCTGTTTTGATTTACTTTTTGTATGTAAGGGCTGAGTGACTGTAGTCCGATACTCTATCTATATCTATATATTGATCAGCCACAACAACAAAACCACTGACAAGGAACCACATAACAGTGGTCATCTTGTTTTGATGCTATGATCGCCTGTGGAACCTTTGTTTGTGGCACATACCACCCCCCAAAACCTTTGTCCTCGACTGAGATTCTCCATGGCGCTCCCTGATGCCAGTAACCTCCCCAACAGCACAATGCACTTCGTTGCCAGAACTGCTCAGGAACGGCTCAAGGGCTTTGACAAGAACTCCGAGGCAACGTCCCGGCCGCCAGATTCCCAAGATCCCAACCCCATGTAGCCCCATGAACTCCCCACCCTACAACCTGAACACTATGAAGCAGGTGGTTTTAATGTTGTGGCTGCTCATCTATACTGCACAATGTCCATTATTTACCAAACTTATAGTTGTCTGCCAAATCAGTTGTACATTTCCTTTAAGATATATAGATGTATGCAAACGACTGCATTCCCACCCCACAGATTAATTATAGATGTAGTTTATTTTTTGAAGAGAAAATTACATAAAACAAACCCTGCAACAAACAAACATTAACATGTACAAAACTACGGTCACCCGACTGGGTCACAACTTACTGACCCTCTTTTTGCAAACAGTTAAGAGTCTTCTTGCTCTTCATTCTTCTCTTCATCTAAAAGTTTTGCACATTGTGTTCTCCTCCTCCCTGGGTACATAAAACAACTAACAGCTCATTCACATTTAACTAACGGCTTGTTTTTACCGTCTGTTTGTTGCAGAGGTTGCATTTACTTGTTTTTGCTTCAAAAATCTAACGTTAGGTTCCAGGTTTGGGAGCAAACCTTTGCATGCAAGCACAACTTTTCAATATGTTTTGAATGTAAATATTCTGAAAAGCAGTTTTAACTCGCTATGAATAGGTGACTGAGTTATGCAAGAGTTTCTGTGGTCGCAAAGGGACTGTGACCTCCACAGGAACTCTCATATTATAATGTTTCAACCAATATGAATGTATTTTACTCTATTATCTTTGTGACACGTCGATGAACACTGATAACAGTTATTGTCAGCTTTACAGGCAGGGCTAGTAACATATTCAAGTACAGTGTTTGCTTGTCAGAGTGTAAGGCTAAACACAGTGGATGCCGGAAACTAAGAATGTACTTACTTTTGCACACCCTTTGTTATTTATGTGACTGTATTACTACATAAAAACATTAAAAAATATCATACAGAATGTTGGATATTGTTAGCGTGTCATTATCAGCCATCGCTTTTCTAGACTTGATTGCAGTTCAACAGCAAGTTTAAGCACAGTCACTTCCTCCAGCTCTGTCAGGGGATCCTAAAGCGCTCCTGGGACAGAAGGATCCCTCCAGGGCAGAGATCTCCAACTCTGGTCCTGGTGAGCTACTGTCCTGCAGGTTTTAGACGCTTCCGTACTGCAACACACCTGACTCACATTAATGGGTGTCCAACAGCTTGTTGTCAACTTCTACACAAGTCTGTTTATGATCCATTCATTTGTGTTGGAGTCAGAATCCAAGGCTGTCGGTATGTTAAGGCTGTTTTTGTGGGTTCTGTTCGTTTTTCCTAAAAACCTGTCGGATAGCAAGGTTTAGGATTGTTAAGGGTCGATTATCGAGTCACGACTGTAGTATGTCAAACGAAAATGAGTCATGATTGAAAACACAGACAAAAACAGGATGCCGTTCCTGAGATTTGATGTTGAAAGAAAACCTTTACTATGATGGTAAATTTCTTCAAATTCAACTTTCTAGCAATGAATGCTAAATATGATCTCTCTCTCTCTCTC